CGAGGCTTCAAGGCTTCCGTTCTGTCTCCCTCCCCGCTGGGGCGGGACCGTAGATGCACCCGCCCAAGAAGGAAGTGGTTTAGTCACCCTGGGTAGGGGAGCAAACCCAGAGGTTGATCCCTCTCACGACCCCCTGCCCTTCTCTGCCACAAACCCCGCTCCCAGAAGTCCCTCCTTCCGTGCGGACTTGCACCTTCCAGCCGGATGTCTGGCGGCAAGTTATGGTCAGTGGAGGGCGGGATACAAGCACCGTGGGCCCCCCGCCCCCCCGGGGGGGCAGGGGGCCGGGGAAGCTAGAGTTTGAACTGACCGCATGGAGTCACCAGGGTCACGGAGGTGGGGGCGGTACGGGGAGGAGCTGGAAGACCCCCTCTTTCAGGCTCGGCGGTACCCCAGCCTCCCTGGTGTCTGTCGAAGAATTGGAGAACCCAGAGTTCATCGGCGCAGGCAGGTTCGGGGTGGTGTTCCGGGCGCGACACAGGACGTGGGATTTAGATGTGGCGGTCAAGATCTTGAAGGGGTGAGTGACCTGAGCCACGGGCCTCCCAGGGTCTGCCCAAGGAGGAGGGGCCACTGCTGGGCCTGAATGGGGAGGGGAGGGATCATCCAGGAGTCAAGGGCGCCACTCCGCTCTTTCCTGGAGCGTAGGGAGGCGATATCCAGGGAGGTGAAGGCCATGGCAAGTCTGCGCAACCAGCACCTACTGCTCCTGCTGGGGGTCACCCAGAAGCTACAGTGGGAATCCACCTGCGGGCCAGCTCTGGTGACTCAGTTCCTGGAAAATGGTTCCCTGGCAGGGCTGCTGCAGCCCGGCTGTCCTCGTCCCTGGCCTCTCCTCTGCCGCCTGCTGCAGGAGTTCGTGCTGGGGATGTGTTACCTGCATGGCCAGAACCCCGTGCTTCTGCACCGGGACATCAAGCCCTCCAACGTCCTGCTGGACTCAGACCTGCACGCCAAGGTCAGCCTATCCATAGCCCAGCCCAGCCCCTGGACACAGAACTTGTTGCAGCCCTCTCTACTCCGTACCCTCAGCATCTCCCTCTGGACACAGGGCTGCCCGAGGGTCAAAGCCCAGCCAGGAGCTTTAGCCCCTACCCTACCAGGTGGGAGCGACCCTGACCCATATGGTCAGTTCCACAGGCCTACCCACCAGTCCGTCCAAAGACCCATGGCTGACCTAGCTCAGGAGACTCAGACCTTGACCCAGCCCCCTGAAGAGGGGACCCACACCTCCAACCCAAGGGCCCCACTGGCCCTGCCATTCCCCTAACCCTCAAAACCCCCTTTATAAGGCTGGACCTGTACCTTGTGGTGGGAGAGGGGACTGGAAGCTGCCTGGCCCTGTCCATCCTCTACCTTCCCCCTCTTCCTTCCCTTACAGCTGGCAGATTTTGGCCTGTCCACGTTTCAGAGAGGTTCGAGGTTAGGAGCTGGCTCTGGGGAGTCAGCCCCAGCCTACTTGGCCCCAGAACTGTTGGCTGATGTAAACCGGAACGCCTCCATGGCTAGCGATGTCTACAGGTAAGGTACCCACGCCAAATACTCATTCCACATTTCTACACCTCTCTGGGCCCTTCTAGGGGACCGTATATGGGAAAGGAATCTTTGCCAGCAGTTGGGCCAGGCCTCAGCTTTGTGTCTCCTGCAGCTTCGGGATCCTAATGTGGGCAGTGCTAGCCGGAAGAGAAGCTGAGAGTAAGACTCCGGGCAGACACTGGGATCCTTAATTCCGGGTGCCCTCCTCCTGCAAGCCTCCATCCCTTCTGTCTTCCAGCTTACCCACTCAGGCCACCCGACCTTCTCCTCACCTCCCCTTGGACTACACTCCTTTCCCCCTTCCATGATGGAACAAGTGGCCCCTCATACCCTGAATGTCTTCTCTTTGCATTCCCCCACCCCTACCCCTGTAGTGGCCCAGACATCGCTGGAGCAGGAAGCAGGGTGTGAGAGGTGGATCCGGCCCCCGCTGACCAAGCTGCCTCAGCCCAGCCCTAAGACTCCTGGCTTGGAAGGACTGACGGACTTAATGCAGCACTGCTGGGGCCAGGAGCCCAAGGACAGGCCCTCCTTCCAAGGTGAACTGGCCAGTGAGCTGGCGGCCAGGGTAGGCCTGGACCTGTCAGCAGAGGGCTTCTCCCTGGGAAGGTTTGGCTCACCTGTCTGCCACCCACTCTGTCTTGTCTCCAGAATGCCGACGAAACACCGAGCAAGCCCTCAGTCTGGTAACCAAGGAGATGGATGCCGCAGTCTCCACGGTGAGTGTCCAGTGCCACACCCCCAACCCAGGAGCTGGGCAAGGATGGCACAACACGGCTCCCTTGGCCACTCAATGACTCCCCACTGACCACTGTTCTTTGTGCCTTAATCTCTGTCCTCACTCTCCCCACCTCACCACTGAGTTCCCAGGTAATAGATTATGGACCAAGAGACTCCTCCCTTGGGTTTAGGCTGGCTCTCCCACCTCCATGCCCAGAAAGCTCCCCGTGTCCTTGCAGGTGAAGAAATTCCTGTGTGAAAACCGGGGCAGCAACAGGATGTCGTCTGTGCCTAAGCCAGGCCCAGGAGGGACAGAAACGGAAGGCCCTAGGGGAACCACAGGAAGCCATGACATCATAGCCACTGAGATGCTAAACAAACTAAATCTGAAGGAGTCCCCCAGCTCTGTTCCTAAAAAATGCACAAACCTTCCTGAGAGGATCAGGGCAGGGGGAGACAAAGTTCAGCCCGCCCAGATAGCAGGGATATCTTCCGATTCAACAGCCCCATCTCCCCAAACTCCAGAGACCTCACTTTTCAGAAATCAGATGCCCAGCCCCAACTTGGCTTGGACCCCAGGTCCTGGACCCGAAGGGAATCAGGTGAGACACTGGCAGGACTAGAGGATGCACTAGGACTCCCATGAATCCTGTCCCCCTTGCCAGGGAGAACTTGGGGCTGAGGGGGATGCAGCAGGGGAACCGGTCCCAAGACGGAGAGCCCAAGAGAGCGGTGTTGTTTGCAGGGGGCTAAGAGACGTGGCACCAACTGGTCTCCCAGGGCACCACGGCCCAATCCAAAACCAGGTACCTGCTCCTCACTCCTTCCTTTCTCCTACTCAGTTCTCCCAACGGCTTCTTCCTCAAGACTGTCTATAGATCCAGGTTACCTTGGGTAGCGGGAGAAAGGGCTAGGGGCCAACTACCCCATACTTCTCATGTCATAAATGAAGAAACTGACACCCACTGGGCCTGGGGTCCTGCTGAGGGCACACAGCAAAGCCTGGATTTGCCCTGGGCCTTCTGACTTTCCCCAGAACTAGCTCTGTGAACCCCTAACTTCTGCTGTTGCTCTGTTGGCTCAGAGGGGCTCCTAGAAGAAAAAACCCCAAATTTCAGGGTCTCAGACATTAGCTGCCACTCCTTCTGAGCTTCTGCAAACCCAGTTCCGAAGGGGCAGCACAGCGCCCAAGGGCACATTTGACACAGTCGCAGGCTGCCCTAGAGACCCCATACTTGGCATTTCCCCAGGATGGACACAAAGTGCCACTGCCCCTCCACCCCGCCGCTCCTCCTAATTTTGAGTCCGTTTCCCCGACTGCTTCACCGCCCCACCAATACAATTTCTCTTAAAGGGAATCCTGTTACCATACGTGACAGCCATGCGGTGCAGGTGGGAGACAACAACTACTTGGTTATACAAGAAGGAACTGCCTTGCCCACGCCAGGCCTGGCGCCTTGGGGCCAGGGTCGAGGCAGGCCGCGTGCCCCCCACAAGTAGGTTGGAAAGGAAGGCCGCAAGAACCAAGAAGCCCAGAGCCGGCTGCAGGGCTGGTATGATGCACCTTCTGAGCTACCTCTTGGATGTGAGGCAATTAGCTGAGGCTTTCTTTGAAGGCCAACTGATTTGTGCACACAGAAGTCAATAAACGTGATGGGTTTTGAAAACCAAAGCGCCACACTTGGGAGGCTAAGGCTTAGGCCAGGGGCTGGCGGTGGAGACGCGGATGGGAGCCTGCATCCTGCGGTCGGTCGGAGCTGATCCGGAGGGAGGCCCTGCCCTCTAGCCGAGGGCGGAAGCGGGATGCTCCGGGCTGGGGGTGGGTGGCGGCGTGGCACACAAGGTCAGGGCCCAGCTGGCGGCAGGAAGGAATCCCTGAGGCCTTGGCTCCATGGGCCGCTCTAATCTCTGGGCGGACCACTTCCTCTAGATCGGCTGAGACCCTACCCTATACCAAAATTCTGGGGATAGTCTCCCTTTTCCTCTGGGCCCCCCTTTTCCTCTGGGCTACGGAGACGCCGCAGTGGGGTGCTGGGGAGAGGGCTCTCCACGGGCATTGGAAGACCCCGGCACATCTCTTGCCCTGCACAATGCCCCCAGCCTCTCTGAGGCTCCAGAAATCAGCCTGATTTCTTATTCCCCTCCATCGCAAGCGCTCACCGCCTGCGCTCCCGCGCACGTTGCTGCCCAGGCGGAGCCCTTTGACCCTCAGCTGGTGTCTGCGGTGGAAAGCTTTGGCTCCACAGAGCTACACACAGACGTGCCCCCTCCCATGGAGCTGGACCCGGTGGGACAGGAACAGTTCACAGACTCCACAGCAGCTATATCCAGGCAGGAGGGGAGCAGAACGGGCCCACCCGCCGCCCCCTCCCCATCCGACCTAAATCCTAGCCCCGATTGGGCCTCACATCCTTCCCTACATTCTCACCAGCCTTCACTCCAGCGCTCCTTCACTCTCCTGGTGGCCAAGGGCCCACCCCCATTTTGACACTTGCTGCTCAGCCTGGCCCACCCCACCCCCTCACCTCTCCCACGGTTCGCATTCCCCTTGCTCGAGGGGGCTGGAGGAGGGAGGCAACAACAGTGTTAGAGGAGACAATGAGGGAGGGAGGAGGCCTGGGGAGTCCGCCTCGGCACGGGAAGGGGCCGGGCAGGGCAGTCCCGTCGGGGAAGTGGGAGGGGGCCCCGGCGCAGGGAGGGAAGCGCCCGCCGCCCGGGGCTCTGAGCCACTAGCTTCTCGGCGATCGATCGGGACTCGGCCACCGGCTGCCCGGGCTCCCTCCTCGGGCCTCGCCCATTCAAGCCGCGGCAGCATCCCGGCAGTGAGTTTGGGGGTAAAAGAGGAACCCGAGGCTCCTTTGCTTCAACCCCAAATCCTGCCCCACCCGCAGCCAAGGCTTTTGCTAGGGCATCTCTGCAGTCTGGGTTTGAGGGAGGAGGAGCGAAGGATGGGGCAGTCTTCTCACAGCCAACTGGGAAAAGGCTGGGAGGCGCCGGGGAGTGCCTGGCAGCTCGGATTGCCGCCAGGTTGGGGAAACGGGGTGGAAGTGGCTTGGACCCAGTGAGAGAGGCACAGTTGGGGCCCCGAGCGGCTACAGGCAGTAACGCAGCCCCTGGCCCTCCCCAGCCCGGGGGTCCGCCCTCTACCCCCGAGGCCACACAGCCCAGGGCAGGGGGGACCATGGCCCGCCTCTTCAGTCCCCGGCCGCCCCCCAGCGAAGACCTCTTCTATGAGACCTACTACAGCCTGAGCCAGCAGTACCCACTGCTGCTTCTGCTGCTGGTGATCGTGCTCTGCGCGCTCCTGGCGATGCTAGCTGTCGCCTCCGCCAGCGGCAGGGTGAGCGGGGCTGCTTCTGTTGGGGGTGGGGGGCTCCTTCCCGAGGGTGGCAGGAGGGTCACCGTCTAGAGGGCGTTTTCGGGGTAGGGACTTAGGGAGGGGTCTTCTTTTTGACGTACGTTCTTTGCTGGAACCCAGGAAAGAAGCACCGAGCCTTGCTAGGAAATGTAGTGATCCTGGACAAGTCACTGCACCTCTCTGGGCCACAGTCGCTGGGCCGCTGGGAGAAAGCCGAGCCCTGGGTGCTTTTAATTTCTCTCAGGGTACTGACAGACCTTCTGAGCTTCTGTGATCTACTGGTTCTAGAGTAAATTCAACACCGGGTTTTCCAGTTTTCCAGAAGGGAAATTACATGGGGCCCCGTGGGAATCTGTTTCCTGGTTTTCTTTCTCTCATAGGGGCTGTGGGGCAGCTGTACCCACAGACTCCCAGAAGGCATCCTCCATCCCACTCACATTTAGTCCCCAAATAAAGCCATTTCCAGTTTCCTTTTTTTTTTTTAGGAGAAAGGGTCTTCAATTCCATTTCTGGGAGTATCTTGCTCCAAGTTTTCTTTTCACTTTTTGGAGGCGAGTTGGGGAAGCCACTAAACTGACCAATTCTTGCTGGGCCACCTTGAAGTCCAGGAAGAGGTGGGGACACAGGGCAGGGACAGCGGCAGGAGGTCGACGCCCAGACGTGGGTGGTGAAAGTGTAGTGCTCCCCGCTGCCCTGCCACGAGGGAGGTTCCAGGTGCCCCCTGCTGCTGGAGCACTTTTTGGAGCTGGGGGGGGCAACTACTCCCACCCTTGTGCCCAGGGCAGGGACTCTCCTGAGCAAATTGGCCAGATTTGGATACACTCATTCCTAAGTGCCTTCTGTGAGGTAGGCTTTTTCACTTGTGTCGGGACCCCAGGATGGTGTTCCAATTCCTATTTGACAGATGAGAAAACGAGCTCAGAAAGGTCGTAGATTCACAAATGCGCCATATGGGTAGGCTCTGGGTAGATGGCCCAAGGCTCTAGCACCCTGCCAGTGAGATATGAGGTTGAACCATTGCAGGCTCTGTAGATTTTTTTTTTTAAGATTTTATTTATTTATTTGACAGAGAGAGTGAGAGCAGGAATGCAAGCAGGGCGAGTGGGAGAATGAGAAGCAGGCTTCCAGCTGAGCAGGGAGCCCGATGCGGGGCTCGATCCCAGGACCCTGAGATCACGACCTGAGCCAAAGGCAGACGCTTAACGACTGAGCCACCCAGGC